CTGTCTACATGAGGTTTTTCCTGATCCCTCCCCACCCCATCACGTTGTATCTTTTTTGTATATTCCTATATATTTGCATGTTTTCTCCCTGGGCTAGATTGCAAATTCCTTGACAGCAGGAACTTTTCACTTTTGTCTTTTTACCCCCAGTGTCTGGTACAGTGTCTGACACATGGCAGATACTTTTTTTTTCTTCAATACTGTTTCTACTTTCTCATGCATTACATCTGGGACCATGTTATATTCCAAATGTGGTAGCACCAATGTTATTTCTAAAATATATTTTTATTTATTTTGTTAAACATTTCCCAATTACAATTTTAAAATTTTTTAACATTTAATTTTTTTTTAAATTTTGAGTTCCAAATTCTCTCCCTCCTTCCTGCCCCTCCCCATCCCTTGAGAAAGCAAGCAATATAATATTGATTATACATGTGAAGTCATGCAAAACATATTTCCATATTAGCCACAGTGCAAAAGCAAATACAGACCAAAAACAAAAAATAAAATAAAATAAAATAAAGAAAGTAAAAAAAGTATGCTTCAGTCTGCACTCAGTTCATCAGATCTGTCTCAAGGGGAATAGTATTTTTCATCATGGGTCCTTTGAAATTGTCTTGGATCAATATATTGATCAGAGAAGCTAAGTCTTTCACAGTCAGTCATCTTTACAATATTGCTGTTACTTTGTACAATGTTCTTCTGGTTCTGCTCTTTCCCATTATTCCCAACAATATATTGATTAAATAATGGTCCTTTTCCTCATTTTTCAAATTTGTCAAGTTTGTCACATATTCATCTTTTACTTATTAAATTATTTATTTTGACCTCGACCTTAAATCATTACAACCAAGTAAACCTATTTCACAATGTTTACATTTAAATACTAAAATTCAAATATTAATATATCTATAACAAACTACCAGCTGCTTCCTCTATGTTCCCTTTGATTTTCCCCAAAATTCATTACTATATCCTTTGGCTTTCATTTATTCATTGTCAAACTCTGTTCTAGTTCTACATTCTTCCTTTTACGTTGCTTCCTATAAATCTTTCCATATTTCTTTTTTTCTCTTTTTAATAAATAGTATTTTATTTTTCAATTACATGTAAAGACAATTTTTAACATTCATTTTTTTAAAATCTTGAGCTCTAAATTTTTCTCCCTTCCCCCTCCCTAAAATAGTAAGCATTTTGATATAGGTTATGTATGTACAATCACATAAAATGTATTTCCATATTAGTCATGTTGTGAAAGAAGAAACAGACCAAAAGGGAAAAAAAAAAACACAAAAAAATAAAGAATGTGAAAACAATATGCTTTAATCTGTATTCAGATGCCATCAGTTCTTTCTCTGAATGTGGATAGCATTTTCTATTCTGAGACTTTTGGAATTGTATTGGATCATTGTATTGCTGAGAAGAGCTAAGTCATTCAGAGTTTATCATCACACAATGTTGCTGTTACTGTGTACTATGTTCTCCTGGTTCTGCTCATTTCATTTCGCATCAGTTCTTATAAAGTCTTTGCAGATCCTGCTTATCATTTCTTATAGCACAATAGTAATCCATTACATTCATATACCACAGCTTGTTCAGCCATTCCCCAGTTGGTGGACTTAACTTCAATATCCAATTCTTGGCCACCATAAAAAGAGCTGCTATAAATATTTTTGTACATGTGGGTCCTTTTCCCATTTTTATGATTTCTTTGGGATATAGACCTAGAAGTGGTATTGCTGGATCAAAGGATATGCACAGTTTTATAGCCCTTTGAACATAGTTCCAAATTGCCCTCCATAATGGTTAGATTAGCTTACAACTCCACCAACAATGCATTAGTGTCTCAATTTTCCCACACCCTCTCCAACATTTATCATTTTCCTTTTCTATTATATTAGCCAATCTGATAGGTATGAGGTAATACCTCAGAGTTGCTTTAATTTGTATTTCTCTAATCAACAGTGATTTAGGGCATTTTTTCATATGAGTATAGAGAGCTTTGATTTCTTCATCTGAAAACTGCCTTTAACCATTTATCAATTGGGGAATGACTTCTATTCTTATAAATTTTACCCAGTTCTCTGTATATTTGAGAAATGAGTCTTTTATCAATGATACTTGCTGTAGAAATTATTTCCCAGCTTTCTTCTTTCCTTCTAATCTTGGTTGCATTGGTTTTGTTTATGCAAAAACTTTTAAATTTAATATAATCAAAATCATCCATTATACAACTTGTAATGCTTTCTAGCTCCTGTTTGGTCAAAAATTCTTCCCTTCTACATAGATTTGACAGGTAAACTATTCTTTACTGTCTCCTAATTTGCTTATGGTATCATCCTTTATGTCTAATCATATACCCATTTTAACCTTATTGTGGTTCTTCCCATTCACATTCACAGTTATGATTACTGTGTATTTCTCTCTCTTTGCTCTTCTGATTTGTTTATGGTATCACCCTTTATGTCTAACTCATGTCCCCATTTTGACTTCATCTTGGTATACAGTGTAAGATGTTAATCTATACCTACTCTCTGCCATATTGTTTTCCAGTTTTCCTAGCAATTTTTGTCAAATAGTGAATTCTTATTCCCAGAGGCAGGGGTCAAATACTAGATTACTAAGGTCATTTACTACTGAGTCTTATGTATTTAATCTATTCCACTGATCGGCCACTTTATTTCTTAGCCAATACCAGATAGTTTTGATAACTGATGCTTTATAATAGGTTTGAGATCTGATACAACTAGTCTACATTTTTTTCATTAATTCCCTTGATATCCTTGAGCTTTTGTTCTTCTAGATGAATCTTATTTTTTCTAGCTCTATAAAATAGTTTTTTGATAGTTTAGCATTGAACAGGTAGAATTGTCATTTTTATTATATTGGCTCAGTCTACCCACGAGCAAATGATATTTTCCCAACTGTTTAGATCTAACTTCATTTGTGTGAAAAGTGTTTTGTAATTGTGTTCATACAGTTCCTGGGTTTGTCTTGGCAGGTAGACTCCCAAGTATTTTATATTGTCTATAGTTATTTTAACTGGAATTTCTCTTTCTATCTCTTGCTGTTGGGCTTTGTTGGCAATATATAGAAATGCTGATGATTTATGTGGGTTTATTTTATATCCTGAAACTTTGCTAAAATTGTTATTTAAAGTAGTTTTTTAGTTGATTCTGTAAGGCTTCTCTAAGTTTACCGTCATCTTCTGCAAACACTGGTAGTTTTGTTTCTTCATTGCCTATTTAATTCCTTCAATTTCTTTTTCTTCTCTTATTGCTATAGCTAACATTTCTAGTGTAATATTGAATAATAATGGTGATAATGGGCATCCTTGTTTCACCTCTGATCCTATTCGGAAGGCTTCTAGCTTATCCCCATTACAGATAATCTTGCTGATGGTTTTAGGTAGGTACTGCTTATCATTTTAAGGAAAGCTCCATTTATTCTTATTCTCTCTAGTGTTTTTAATAGGAATGGGTGTTGAATTCTGTCAAAGGCTTTTTCTGCACCTATTGAAATAATCATATGATTTCTGTTGGTTTTGTTATTGATATGGTCAATTATGCTGATAATTTTCCTAATATTGCATTTCAGCCCTTCATTAGTGAAGGCCAACATTTGATATAGATCTATATGTGGAACCATGGAATACAAACTTCCATATATCAGTTCTTTCTCCAGAGGTGGATAGCATTTTCCTTCATAAGTCCTTAGTAGTTAATTTTAATGATCATATTACCCAGAATAGCTGTTATTCACAGTTACTCTTTGAAAAATATTGCTGTTACTATATACAATGTACTCTTGGTTTTGCTTTTTACACTCTGCATCATTTCATGCAAGTCTTTCATGTTTTTCTAAACCCTACCTACAATAATTTCTTACAGTACAGTAGTATTCCATTACAAAGAACCAAATTTTCAGGGGACCAAAGGGCAGTCAGTGGAGAGACTTCAGGTTAATTGGAAGCATATTACTATAGAGAAAAGAAACATAGGACCAGATTAATGCTACACTGGTTTCTTCCAGAGCTTTGTATAAACAAGAGGAAGGGATTCAGCGCATTTTGTGGCAGGGAATAGAATCACACTGACAAGAAGACAGGTCCGTTAATATTTTTATGCACTTTAGCACTCTTCTCTTCAAAACTAAACCATTGACCAACCCTCTTAACAGCATCTTGCTACATGCCTTTACTCACTAGGCTTGAGGTGCCCTTCCTACGCCCCACTCAAACCACTGACCTTTCTTTTCTTTCAGTACTAATGCCATCCCAATAAAGCAGTCCCTAATTCTTTCTCCTCTCCCAAGTCACTAATGTTCATCCCACCTGACTCCTAGTTGTGCCAGAGATGCCTGGAAGAAAGGAAGTAGTGACTTGAAGCAAAGCGGGTCAAATTAGTTAGCAGCCAAAGAGAGAGGAGACAACTTGCACCTTAACACAGAGGTGTCAGACAGGTAACCTCCGAACCAGATTAAAATGTAATTGGGAAATATTTAACAAAATTTTTAAAATTCAATAAAACATAGATAACATTATATTATAAAACTAAGTCAATATGTGGCCCACAGAGTTTGATGCCACTGCCCCAACATGCCCCTTGTGCCTTGCCTTCTGAGTAATTCTGCCCCAAATGTAGTGACAATACATGCAAAGCAATTGCTATTATGGATATGATTAGAAAGTAACCTTTTTACTGTTGTTTATCTTATACCTCTAACTGTAAGATGTCTGGAAGTTGTATCAATCATGGGGCTCAGTGAAGGTGATGTGTTAACTGTAAGCAGTAAGCTAAATTAATTCATTAAATAGTAAAGAGTCTAGTGTAAATTGAAGGCAGACACCAAACCCTTAATGCTGTAGGATCTTTTCGGATTATTGAACACTTTACTTCAACTCCGGGCCTCAGTTTTCTCATCTGTAAAATAAGGGGGTTGGGGTAGACAGCTTCTGAAGTCCCTTTCATCTCTCAAGCTAAGATCCTATGATGTTTCAGAAATTGCTGACATTCCAAGATGTTGCTGTGGAATTCACCCAGGAAGAATGGAATTATTTGGATCCTGGCCAGAAGGACATGTACAGGGATGTGATGCTGGAGAACTATGAAAACTTTGTCTCTCTTGGTAAGGTTACTTTTTCAGCCATTCAGTAAGCATTTATTAAGCTCCAACTGTGTACCAGGAACTATCCTAGGCACAGAGGGTACAAAGGTAAAAATGAAACAGTCCCTGCCTTCATTTTTAAAGAGAGAGGCCAAGACTGAATTCTGGAATGTCTCTCTGTTCTCAACACATTGATTTCCCCTCGAACAGGGCTTCCAGTTTCCAAACCAAATGTGACCTCTTAGCTGGAGAGACATGAAGCCCCCTGGCTATCAAGGGGAGAAGACCCAAGATGTGAGTGAAAACCAGGCAGGTCAGTTGTGCAGTAGATAAGAGTGCCAAACCTGGAGTCAGGAAGACTCATCTTTCTGAGTTCAAATCTGGCCTCAGAGACTTCCTAGCTGTGTGACCTTGGGCAAGGAAGGCACTTAACCCTGTAGGCCTCCGTTTCCTCATCTGTAAAATGAGCCAGAGAAGGAAATGACAAATCACTCCAGTATCTCTGCCAAGAAAACCTCCCGGGGATTACAAAGAATCAGACGTGACTGAAAACAACTGAACAACAGAACCAGGCAGAGGCAGCAGCTTGGCTGTTTCACTAGAATGTGTTACCTTCAAGAGCTCTCCTTAAAGGTCCTTAGGACTGCAGAGAAGAGCTATGTTGTCCATCCTGTACTCCTTCCTATAACCTCATCTTTCATGTGGAAAAAAAAAGTCTTTCTGTTGTATCTGCCCTTGTATTTTTCTCTAGTCTAGAAATATTTCTTCCTTATGATGCTTATGCTTCCACCTATACTCTGGATCCCAATCTTTATCCCCATGATTGTTTTTTCTTCTTCTTGAATCCTTAGACTTTTTTTCTCTTTGAAGAGTCCTTTCTGAGAGGTGAAAGGGAAAGAGCTTTCAGATATAATTAAGTCTGACCTACATTTAAGAAAACAAACCGTTGCTTCATCCTGTTGCCTATTTTACCTGCTTTCCAATTTGTCTCATTCTTTTCAATGACAGACCCTATGAAGATGCCATCTACACCTTGGATCTACTTCTGACTGTCCCTTTCCCATCTTGAATTGCTGCAATAGGTCTTTTATTCCCACGGCTTCATGGAAGCTCTTTCTATTTGGTAATCCTTCACATCCTTGGAGCCTACTTTCCCATATACTAGGAAAATCCCTAAATTTGATAAGCCTAGATTTGAGTACCAGTTGTGACACTTACTACGTAGGTGACCATGGGCAAGTTAAGACATCATCGATTTTCACAGGCTTTATCTGTAAAATGGGGATAAATACATACACCACACATCCCAAAGACTGGTAAAACATAAAGTACTACTGGTATATTAGTTAATAATTATTATCATAAAGTCAGTAATGACCTTAAAAGATTTGCAGTATGGCGCCACCTAGCTGTTCAATGTTCTAGGCAGCTCTAAAACTATAGCTTTCAGAGAAGGTGCCAGCCTGGTTTGGCAGAGGGAATTTCTTCATCTGGGAATTAATTATATCAGTGAAATCACAACTTCAATCACTATCCCTTCTTAAATTTTACCAGAGATCAAATTGAAATATCAGTCTATAGTTTTTTAGAATTAATGTTTTCCTTTCTGAAAATTTAGACATTTTTGATGTCATGGGCAGTTCTGTTACTTTCCCTTCACCCTTCCTGGGCTTCAGCACCCTCCTAGTCATGTTTGTTTTGCTTCTTCCAAATTAGTCTCCCTTCTCCTTACTGGAGAAGACAAAGCAATTTTCTTTTTCCCACAACATTGAGCAATGGGGTTGACGCTTCTATATTTCTTCTTATAGATTCCCCTGTTCAGGAAATAGAATGTGAAACCAAGCAGTCAACTCCAAAGCAATGTATTTCTACAAGAAACTCATCCACAGAGAGGTGCAAAAAGGATGGTTTCTGGGATTCTAAATTGGGAGAAGCTTGGAATTATGAGATTGGATTAGAAAGACAGATAACCTGGACAGATAGTCCAAGAAAGTAATAGCCAATCATAGAAAAATTTCTTGCAAGTCCAATGTTCCAGAGTTTATTAGATTTGAGAGAAAACTCAGTTTCCATTCTAACCTCATTCCACAACAGTGTTTCTATAGAAAAAGTTTTCATAAGCATAATAACATTGGAAAGTGCTTTAAATGGTTTTTAGACCTCATTAAACATAACAGAATTTCCATGGTGGAGAAATGTTGTAAGTTTAACAAATACAAGAAGTCTTTCCATTACCACTCAAAACTTAGTCATTACCATGGAGTGCATTCTCAAGGAGAACCTCATAGAAGTAATGAATGTGGCAAAATCTTCAGCATCAATTCATGCCTTATTGTACATCAGAAAAGTCATAATGAAGAAAAACCTTTTGAATGTAATAAATCTAGCAAAACTTTTAGCCAGATATTTTAGTCAACATAAGAGAATTTATACTGGAGAGATGCCCTATAAATGTAATAAGTATGAGAGAGCTTTCATCAGTAATCAATGGTTAACTCGACATCAGATAATTCATACTGGAGAGAAGCCCTTTGATTGTAAGGAGTATGGGAAAACTTTTAACCCGACAAGGTATTTTAGTAAACATAGTAAAATTCCTTCTAGAGAGAAACACTATAAATGTCAGCATTGTGGAAAATATTTCAAAAGAAAGGAAAGCCTTAATGTACATAAGAGAATTCATACTGGAGAGAAACCTTTTCAGTGTAGTGAATGTGGGAAAACCTTTCATCAGAAGGGAAACCTTAATACATATAACAATTCATACTAGAGAGAAACCTTTTCAATGTAATGAATGTGGGAATACTTTGGCCAGAAGGGAGGTCTCGATTCACATGAGAAAATTCATACTGGAAAGAAACCCTATAAATGTAATGAATGTGGGAAAGCTTTTAAATAGCAAATGAGCTTTCTAAGGCATAAATATATTCATGCCAGAGAGAAATCCTTTGAATGTAAAGAATGTAGGAAAACCTTCAGCCAGAAGGGAGGCCTTGCTTCACATAAGAGAATTCATACTGGAGAGAAACTTTTTCAATGTACTGAATGTGGGAGGGCCTTCAACCAGAAGGAAAACCTTAATTCACAAAAGAAAATTCATACTGAAGAGAAACCCTATAAACGTAATGAATGTGGACAAGCTTTTAAATGGTATAGAAACTTTAAAAAGCATAAACATATTCATACTAAAGAGAAGTCTTTTGAATGATGTTGGAACAGCCTATAGTCAAGAGTCCAATCTTCACATAATAATAAAAGAGAAACCCTTTGAATGTAATGAATGTGAAAAAAAACCATATTGCACAGTTCAAACCTTAAGAAACATCAGATAATTCATACTGGAGAGAAGTCATCGAAATATAAAGAATGTGAGGAACCTTTCATCCAGCAGGAACACCTTAATAAATCTAGATCATCCTAGAGATGAACTTTTTCAGTGTAATGAATGTGGGAAAGTTTTCAAGTGGATTGAAAATCTTAAAGCACATAAGACAATTTATACAAAAGAGAAATCCTTAGAATGGAAGGAATGTTGAAAAGCTTTCAGGAAGAAACAACAATTTATTGCACATCAGAGCTTTCATTCTGAAATGTGTTTAGAGTAATGACTGTGGGAAAGCTTTCACATCTTAAGGACTAAAAGAGAATTCATACTGGAAAGAAATTCTTTGAATGTAATGAATGTGGGAATACTTTGAGGCTAAGGCAGAGTTTTGCTTCACATAAGCAACTCCTACTTTTGATAAACCCTTTGAATACATTGTATTTGGAAAAGCCATAAGCTAGAGATAGCACCTTATAGAATATTGGATAATTCTTACTGGTCAAAATAACAGCAGCATAATCCATAAATTTAATTAATATAGTTTGTCTCTCCTCATAATTCCATGCTAAAGGCTAACCATATAGATGTTAAAGTGGGAAAGACTTTATAAAATGTTATAAAATGTTGTTGAATACCAGAAAATCTGTCAGATTTTATTGTTTGTTTCTGATCTGTGTTCTTTCTTGTAGCACATATTAACTGGTGGTTGAATTGCACTATTTAGGTGCTAGGGAAGATTAATTAAAACTTGGTTGCTGACCTCATGAACCTCAAAATCAGAGTCTGGAAATTTGACATATACACATAAAACTTACTATAATACAAAGTGTACAAAAGAGGTACATCACAGTGTGAGATTCAAGCAGAGGAGGATCCTTACAGATTAGGGGAGATCAAAGAAGGCTTTATGGAGGAAATGTCATCTGTGTTGGGCCATAAAAGTTAGGTAAGATTTGAGGGAGTGGGGAAGACATTACAGATTTAGGGAACAGCATAAGCAAAAGCATGGAGGCAAAGAAGCATAAGATATGTATGGGGGCTGGTGTGTAGCTGGTTCAGTCATACTTGGAAGAGTGTAGAAGAAAGCACTGAAATAGGGGTCAAAAGATGTTTGCTATCCCAGCTCTACTCCCTTTGGAACTTTGGGCAAGTCATTTATTGACTGTAAAATGAGAGCATTGGGTTAGATCAGAGATTCTTTTTTTTTTTAAGGCAATTGGGGTTAAGTGACTTGCCCAGGTAAGTGTCAAGTGTTTGGTCTGAGGGAGGACTTGAACTCAGGACCTCTTGACTTCAGGGCCAGTGCTCTTTCCACCACACCACCTAGCTGCCCCAAGATCAGGATTCTTAACCTGGAAGTCCACAAACTTAGATGGGAAACTATCTTTTCTTCCACTAACTTTTAACTGAAATGTAAGCATTTCCTTTGTGACTGTAAACAACAAACTACAGTATTAGGCGTTACCAGATTGCCAAAAGAGTCCATGACACAAAAACAAAGTTAAAAGCCTCTGGACTAGATGAAGTCTAAGATCCTTCTCATCACTGATTATGATATAATTATCCTAAAAGAGTGAAATAAAGCCAGAAAGGTAGGGTGATGCCAGACTAGAAAGGACCCTAGATTCTAAGCTAAAGAGAAAGATCTGTGCCTTAGGAAGATTAATCCAACAGTCTTTAAAAAAAAAAAAAAAGA